GTAAATTGTGAAATGGGAGTAGTACACTTCTGTGACACCTTCTAGGCTCCTTTTTCTATCTCTCTATCATGATACATAAACTGACTTTGCGGAACCACACTCAAAATATACTGTGAGGGTACTTTCATCCAAGTTTGGTTGCATAACTTCCTCTAAAAATAAGCTTTCTGTACTTTTTGAAAAGAATGTTACATGTGAACAAATTCTACAAGAGCGGTAACAGTGTACTTATCGTCCTTCCAGACAGTACTGAATGTTAATTTTACCCGTGTCCAACAATGAACAACCCAACAATAAAGCATTTTCATTCCATAAATTCACTGATAGTATACCTGAAATGAAATGACGAAATCTAATAATTCCCATCATATATCTTAATTGAGGAGTACATGTTTACACACTTATTGGAGAACAAATCTAAAACCTGATCAAATTTATAATTATAATGACGATAAAAGAATATTTAACGATCCTAACCTTTTATACAACTACCGGGACATTATGAATTCCAGTCGCGAACAAAGTGTGTAAAGTGATAAATTAACCAACCACTCAGTTATTTAGGCCGTCACTTACCATTTTTTTTCCCCTCAAACATTTTTATCGTTATCCTAAATTGGCACTGATCACTGACTGACATCGGTTGATGAAACATTGTGAACCTGAAAGTAGTAGACAGCCGTTTGCACCTAGTATAGGATACCTCAGCAGTGGGTACTATGATATCATTATTATTTTTTTAATTCGCCATCTTGCGTCTGAATTCACGGTTAATCAAGATAACCGTTTCATTATCGAAATGCCGTACGACATTTAATCTAATATAACCGGAATTCCACTACCTGTAACAGCTTCAAATGTCGGCATTGATCAATCAGGCGTCTTTAAAGACCACCCTAACAACGATAGAAATGACCAATTAGGTTTCTGGATTTGAGCTGGAAAGGCAGATTTTCGTGAAATGTAGAAGTTCAATTGGTTATTTCAGCTGCTGCTAGGGTAGCCTCTAGAGCCACTGGATTAATAAGCTTATGTCAAGCCTACTGAGGAATTATGATAACTTTAAAGACGCCCTAGCAACAACTGATATAACCAATCAGACTCCTATATGTTATGAAAACCTGCCTGTCCATCCGAAATTAAGAAACCGAATTAGTTATTCGAGTGACTTTATAGGGGCCATCCTAGCAACTGCTGAATACACCAATCAGTCTTCGGTATTTCGCTTGGAAAAGTACTTTTCCATAAAATAAAGGGATGTAATTGGCTGTCTATCAGTTGCTAGGGTGTTTTTTAAGGTCAGGTGGTTATTTCGATCGTTGCTGGGGTGGCTTTAGAGTCACCAGAAAAATTAGTGGAAATATGTAACTTCAAGAGCATTTCCGAAGTAAAATTAGTGGGATGTTTGAAAACGTTTTGTCTTCGAGCTTTATATTAACAGTACGAAAGATAAAATAAATTGAATTTGTTTCCGTATGCTGACAGAGTAACTGTATCATGCATATTGAACTAATATCCACATTGAAAAATGTCAACTTAGTTGTATGATGCTACTAGTTGATTATTCTTCTTCAGTATCTGACAATAACTACGGGGTCTAGAGATGTAAAAACATGAGCACTGCAGTAGGGTGCTTGGGCACATTGGATATAACACTAAGTGATATTATTTACTGGATGAAACTCCAAACACACTGTTCATAATCATATCACCTTCATTCGATGGACTCAGGAAGCACGGGGGAGGGGGGGGGAAGAGAGAGAGAGTAAAAGATGAACAGTGGAAACGATCAAATTAGTGGACCTTTTTGGTTATCCAGTTTGTCGATTCTATGCATCAGTCAGGTGTAGAGTAATCACCAGCCACAGGCTTTAGTGCAGTTAGTCGCAGTATGTTATTTTTGTACTACACGATCATTTATAAACTAAATCCAGTTCGACAAATAGTTCTAGGTCATATTACTTGAAGACTCCTTAAGGAAGCTCATAGAAGCTTGTTTCCATTTCCCACTTCAGATTCATCACAGACACTTCAACCTTTTTAAGATTTGAAAAAGCGATGAAATCTCATCATTTGCGCCGTTTCCAGAAGAGGAAAACAGAAAAATGATGTGTCTCACTACAGTTCCAGTCGACGAACCACAGAGTCAATGGCAGGCTCTTCAGTCACGGTTATATATTTATACCTCACCAACTTTTAGGTAGCTACCTACGTATTACAAGGACCCTGAATTCTCCACTTCTTTCACTCCATTTACTTAGATTGTACAGTTATTGACCAAGGTTCTCCGGTTTTAAAATGTACTGAGGATCAACAAGGATCAGTGCTCATCTTTTGTTTAGTTAAAACGAAATTTTTTTATATGCAGTTAGTAATAGTTAAATATTTAAATCTCCGTAACTACAGCAAGTTGTTCATGACTACATCAAAATGGAAATAATTTCTGGATTACGGAAGTTAGCCAACTATTTCTTTTTCTAAATTTGTTCCATCCAGTAGTCAAGAGAAGCTCAGAACAGATTTAAAGGGTTTAGAAGGAGAATGATATTTGAATCGAACCACTCGATAGCAATTGGTTGCCCACATAATTTATATCCACCCCTCCTGCAACATATATACATATTTGGAGAAACCACGTTAGATTTCTCGCCAAAAGCTCAAGTTAATTGTCTTTCAGAAGGACATGCTTGCTGAAATACAGGGCTACAAGAAACTATTATCACTAGTTTGCCAAACTGAGATTCTAAAGGTCGGACAGAAACAAAAACGCAAAATATGACACAAACGTGGAGCACTCTGAGTTATCACTTATCATTAGCACAAAAACTTGAAGTCAAAAAATTAGAAATATATATATCAAGTGAACAAAGGGAAAGGTAAAAACAGAGAAGGAATAAGATATTTAACTTTTAGAGGATAAAATGTGGCATTGCTCTCAATAATGTCATTGATTATAAACTAAGTTACCCAGCATCTCAACCATCGATTCCTAGCATCTAGCTTCAACTAAGGGATATGAAATTTCCTATACCAGCCCAATAAAAAGATGGTGACACAATAGATTAGATTATATCTTGATCTAACCGTCAGTGTATTTGCTCAACCCAATCACACTTTAATTAGTATAACTCTTCGAGGAAGGTGGCGTCTTGGAATATGCAACACACATCCTAACTATTAAAGATAATTATTCTGGTACATACACCTGGAACCTTGTCCCAAACTTCAACACAGCTGACTCCGTTATTTCACTACAAAAAGATTCTGAAGAATTCGAAAGCACTAGCTATATATCTTTTTGTTCAAATACCTAGAACGTAGAAAGTTTCTAACATTATAAATATATCTGTATACTTTTCGCAGAGACCGATACGTACTTTTTTAAGACTCATTTTTATGTTGACGCAAGCTGCAATCAATAACTGTGTAGGTGAATACTTCAAATGGAGCAGTAGGAGTTGCAACTTCTCGAATTTCTTTTACAACCACTTTATACGAGAAAATAAAGAATATCAATACGGTACCCGGTTTTGAATCCCCTTTTCATTCAGATCACATTCACTTGATATCTGTCATACACAAACATTTTAGAAATATTCAATTTAAAAGAATCTTATCCGAAATAAAATCTAACAGTGAAAATACCTAATTTTATTTGAAAAAGGAGCGAAAAACCAGAATAAAGTGAGTTAATTTTATTTCAAGGTTTCCTATCAACTTTAGAAAGCCTAGGATTACTAGAACTATTGAGATTAACAAACAAGTGGCATACACTGAAATGCTGGCCTCAAAACAAATCATATGAAACAGAAAACAAACGGATCACAAGAACTTAGAAGACCAATAATTTACAAACCATAATAAAAGGGTTTATTTATATACGAAGAGAGGAAAGTAGTCTATAAATTTGAAATTATTCGAAAAAACCTAAATATTGTACAAACAAACGAGGCCTTAGAAATGAAAGTGACTAGGTTAAAATTAGTGGACTAGCAGAAAGCAACACTATGCAACAAAAAAGTAAGAGTACGGTTTACGTTACGCCATCACGGAAAGACTGATCACACTCTCCTGCTTACATTGTATAGTAATTGCCAAGCATATCATTTGAGACTGTACCTGTCCCAAAGAGTAAACCGCATTGGATACTATTCCGATAAGATGTAAACATAAGTAGCAATCAATGACTTAATTCATCTGATTTAACTGGTTCACTGCGGTAAGAAACCCAGGACGTTATGAGGATGTTTGACTCAAAGGTATTTCGGTACAAGGGCTAGTATTGTATCAGAGATTCAGAATATGACTGAATGTCACAGATTGTTCACATTTAAAGCTATCACCAACGGCTTATGCATGGAGTCGTTTTCTAGTTTCCGTGTTTTTTAAGTTGTCCCTGTAGATTTCTTAAAGAAAGAGAATAGATCAACCCTCATTTATTGAATCCAATGTTATAGTCGTATCTTTCAAGTTAGTGAAATTGAAACCGTACTTTTGAACAAAAGATGCTACGCTATTCTGGCAACCTTTACTATAATCAACATCAGTGATCAACGGTTATTGTTTAAATCACTTAAAATACATAACTAGATAACTATAAGTATGTCGCTCAATCTGATTAAGGGAATTCGAATTATGAGCGCATTTCTTAAGAAAAGGTCAAAAGTGGTTGGTAATAAAATCTCCAATAATATATTTGCTCAATGTCTAAACTCTAATTTAAGCCACTAACAAAATAATTTTAACATTGTTCCCTTGAATAAATTGGTATTTTTGTGAGCGCACCCCAAAACTCAACGCAGATGCTTTATGAAATGTTTGTTTTTGTCTATGAAAAATATACAAAAATCACAAGTTTTCACAGAATTTTAGTCCACTAAACCGTTTTTCCGCTACCTTTATCCATGGGTGACATTTTCACATCTTGCTTTTGAAATAATTTATAGTGAAGACGATTATACAACCGCTGAAAATCGACCAAAATACTGAGATAAACAATATACGCGATACGTTTGTACCATTCGCTGAAATAAAAGAAATGAAAAATAAATAATTGCATTGTACAGTGATACTAAACGATGCATTCTGGACGTATAGAAAAATAAAAGATTTTTGGGTAATTGACCACACATCTTAAAGAGGTCCAAACTAATAAGTATAATTACAACCAGTCGTAGAAACTGGCGACTTTAAAAGTCACCAAAAAACCACAATAATATGAAATTTTATAAGCTGTGATACATAGATGCAGTTGTTTTGTGACCAGGTTGATTGGCATAGATACACCGAAGAATACACCATGTCCATGTGGTATCATTAATTATAGACTGTTTTCATCAGGTGAACCAGTTAATCGATATTATTCAAAGAAGATCACTTCAGTGAAACGCCGATCTTTGTGACTTTACATATAATTAGATCACTTTAGAACTGAAAGAATTTGGTGATTTATGGCAATACTCGTGACTATTATTCAACTACCTGATTCTCTCTGAATTGATTGAAAACTAATTTCCTCTTACAAACAATTAAGTCTGAAATAGGTTCACAAGTCTATTAACGGTTAAATTCTCTGGTCAATGCTAATCACAACAACGCTTAAGATATATCCATCTTATTTGATCCTTATACCATTGACTAAAGTAAAGAAACCTCTCGCATATGACACTGAGTAGTTAGTTGACTGTAAGATATGGTAATAATGTGCTGCTTGCTGTATAAGCTTCTCAATAAGATCTACCGCATATAACATACTGAATAAGGAAATATTTTTCATAAATGTTATTATGTTGCTGTGTGATAGGTATAATGAACACTTCAAGGACTAGTTGCACTTTAAAATACGACCAACTTTCTACACACATAGGAAAGCACTGCAGAACGACGTTCCGTCCCCATTTTAAAGTTTTACGATTTATCCAGAAAATGGATCGTTTTACTTTGAATTTAGCATATAATTTTCAGTAAAACTATGTGACAATATTTGAAGTAGATATATTACTCAGACTAGTGCACAGAAAACTTATCATGGCGAACTACGAGTCGCTTAAACCCAGCTATTGTTCACGACTAGAAGAAAAAGTAATTTGAGGTAGTATTGAAATCCTGCAGTGGGTGAATTCAAATGTTGTGTGATACCTATGACACAGGTGACTTGCTTAAACTTTGAGCTACCGAAAATTCCCCACCGAATATATTTCATCAAATTCCTTCCCTTCAATTTGTTTTAATCTTTTGAATATATCTTTAAACGCGTCATTTTCTCTTGCACATTTTTAAAATGGTTCCACACGGTTTTTCCAGCGAACAGCAAAACAAAGATAAAACGATACGCTGGTAAGAGATGAGCTTATAAACGCACAGAAATATAGTTCATTACTATTCCATGGATAACTATATCGAATTACTGGCTGGATTAACTATAACCACCAGAATTACGCTCGATTTTCTATTTATTCATTAGTCCAAACTATACGCTAATGTAATACCAGGTGATTGTTACACATTGTGGTTTTTATTACTGTTATTATTAACATTGTTCAAGTGCAATGAATATTTCTCTTAAAAATATTGTACAGAGAATTAACCTTTGTACCATTACATACGGAGAATTCCGTACTGTACTAGATGTGTTGTTTGGAATAAAGTTGCCATTATTATTATTATTATTATTATTATTATTATTATTACAGAAATAATGACTGATTACAGATACACAGGTCAAATGTTCAACTACTTACTTCTCAACAGAAATGAATCATCCAATTAGGATTAAATGAGTTGAATAAAAGTGTAACTAAGACTAACTATGCTACTTCAACAGTGGTTTCAAAACGTTTAGACTATTCAATGATTGTTATGCACACAAAATTTTACTTAAACATGGTACAATTCAATAAAGCTTACTCCTTCACAAGTTTGAACTGACCTTTACCACAATATAACAAAGTATTCCAAGCATGAAATAAAGATTATAAACCTCATGCATTAAGATTTCGCCCAAGTAAATGGAACAGTATAATCGAAATGATATAAAACCTTATGTCACCACGATTACTGATGCAAAATATTCCTTGTATCGTTTTATGGTAGTCAGAAGGTGTAACCATCTTACCAGTCAAGCAAGGTCTTATATATTACGAAGTACCTATATCTTTAAGGTATAGGAAGACGATTATGCCTGACTAACTAAAGACAAGTTGATAGCGTGATATCAAACTCACAGCTCTACAGTGAGAAGTAGTCACCGTGATAATGAGTTATAGCTCCAAGCAATCCAATCATTTTCATCAACTCTGTTAAACTCACATACCACCGGCCTGTTTCTGCTCAATAATGAAGCCCATCCAGTTTTCTTGGTCAAATGTAACTCGTCTGTACCACATTTACTTTGAATAATAAGCTGTACATAAGTGGGTTGAGCCACCTTCATGCATAATTACATCTATGCAATACGCAAACAGTATCGAAAATAAATAGACTACGGTTAATTAAAGAGTTAATACACTCGAATAAAAACGAACAGCTCCCAAACACTGTTTGAAGATATTGTGACTAAAAAAAATGAACTTCTGTATGATTTAAGTAAAATCATAAATCAAACATACTTCTCTTCCCAATGACCATAGTCTTTGGAACTACTTGGATATGTAGTGATGTTATCTAGACCAATGGCTATAAATACTTTTCAATACTATCAATACAGAGGTCGAAAATGATACAAATTGTGGTTTGATCACAGATAAACTGTAATAAATGTGGCTGCTAGATTGAAAACCTCGGTCGCAACACTATCACAACTAACAGCCTCCAGACCGTTGGCTAGGTGGTCAAATAGGTGAGCTATAATACCTAATTCCTTATACCATGTTTCAATTCACGCGAAATTAGTCAGGGTTTTGCACACCTGTCATGTATTTGCGCAATTCCAACGTTAAAGGCTGCTCGGAAGCTGATGATTTGAATCCTGTCGTGAACCAGGTCTTAGTTTTAAACTGGGTTGCTATTTCCGTAAGCAATAATTTCACTGGAGCACAAAAATTGTAAATGAAAGCCAGAATAGCGAATAAAAATTAACAAATATTTACAAATCCACGAAAATGTTGTATGTTACAACTACAGTATTCAGCTTGATAAGATGTTCTGTGTACTACCAATCTGTCCTAGAAAACTAAGGCAACATTCAACTATAAGTATTCAAACTAGAAAAACAGTGCTCTAATATGAGGATTTATTATTATAATTTTTCCCTTGAGTTCCTAGTGGAACATAGGGATTCAGTATGTCATTCAGATAACTACTAATAGATGAAACATTTCTTCAGTTTTGTATGCACACTAATCCCATCTTCTTTAGTACTATGATACCAAACACATGTTGGCCAACAGTTGCATTGAATGATGCCCTACACGAATACCTAAACTATTAAAACTTTACAACGTTTCTGCAGTTTGTCTTTCCTAACATCCATGCTTACCCAGTTAAATTTGTTCTCACAGGTACAACTACCCTTACATAAACTGTGTAAATGTAACAATCTGGAAACTTCAAAATATTGGAAACACTAGGTTTGAAGAATAAAACCAATCCACTTATTGAGTCCCATGGCCAAGCTAACTACTGCAAATAAAAACACTACATACTTCAAATAACGACTACCAAAAGGGTAGATTAGGAAAAACTAGAGAGAGCAGAGAAAACGCAGTAGATCACCAACCCGTCTTCAAGATCCAACTGGATGGGAAGATCTAAAGTCATAAGCCATCTATGAGGTTGTAAGAAAGGTATCCGGTGATAACAACTCATCGACTGCCTGATCCTATGGGGAAGATGTGCAGATATACAGATAAAAAGCTAGTCGAAACTAATGAATACATATGCCCTCAACACTGTTAACGACAAAACGAATGAAGGCTTGTCAATATTCTGGATGGAAAATAACCAGATAATCCGATCTGGCATTTGGCTAGGAATATTTTTTTTCATTGAGTACAATTCTTTAAATGTAAATAAAACCTATTTTCAGAATCAGGTAGTGTTTATTCAGGGACAAAGAAAAACAATAATTATGAAAAACATACACATTAAAATTAATTCTTCTCTTTTTATTGTCTGCTAGAAACTCCCGATGAAATGCTCCCAGATCTGTAACTTTCCGTTCACATGGATCAGCTTTATGCTCTTCCATACTTATCTTCTTCTTCTCCTCCAAATATGCGTTCTTTGCCTACAATATAAAATAATCTAGTTGTGCGACCATATACAAACAATCATATGTTACAATCTACAATATCTACGAAAAACCATTGTGAACAATCAAAATGCTTCATTATTATTGTTCATGAATACTAGTCACTGTGTTTGTTAAAACCAATCATCCAGACATATCTACAACCTTCATCTTAAAATAAAAAGACATATTATCTAATGCTGAGGCAAGAAACAATAGATTCAAAGCTGTCATCTATGAATAATTAAGATGCGAATAGAGAAGGAATCACTGATATATTTGACAGTCGATTGCTCTAACATATAAATTCCCATCGATCTACAAAATGACAGAATATTCCAGAGGTTAGATAGTACTTGGTTTACGAGTTTTTTCGAACAAATTTTTAACGTAAAACGTCGGATTATTCGTTCTCTTTAGACATATATCTAAGACTCTACGGAGCTTCCTTTCAACTACAGCATTGAGGTATATCATTTTGGTCTAGTCAAACAGCCAAATAATCAATCATTTTCTGATTCCGAAGGATGAAACTAAAAAAAGTGTATATTTTCCATTTGGTGATGGCGTTCAGTAAGAATTTCTCCACTTCACATAACTTGAGAAGGATAAATTTTATTTCACTTCTCAAGTTATAATGAAAAACCTAGTTTTTGGATGTGCCTTGTTGAAACTCATGCCTAGATAATTCCCCTTCAGCGACCAGAGCCTCTCTTTCCAAGGTTCAATACCAACATTTTACAACTACGATATGAAGAAAGGCACAAGTAGCTAATAAAAATTATCACAAAACTTTCAATCTCAATATGAAAAACTTTGCATACAGCTCTAGCTCACAGCATGAAACTAAAGTCATGTGTTTTTGGTTTTAGGATGGGAATAAGGGTTGATGAAACTATAACGAAAACGCGTTTTTGTTTTACATCCTTTTCAAATACAGCAACTGGTTTTTCAATGTGGTACAAAATCTTATCAATGAAGACACCAATGTGGATGATGTCAACAGTACTGTGAAGCGTTTAGCTTTACACAACCAAATAAACAGTACAAGAAATTTAGTATAATTGCTTGTATTATACTGTCGTTGACTGGACCGGATTGATCGGTCTCTATCGGTATACGGTCTCCTATGCGGATGCCTTGATATTACCTGACGAGTCCCAAATAGGACAAAATGCTCATCCTGGATTCCACTCCTAGCCATTATCCACCATTACAGTGCAAGAAATGTCAGTCGCAATCATATATGATTCACTTGCAAAGTACGCTTAGAATACAGTCTAACAAATGTAGACTTCACCGTTGAGTTGAATTCACAATCACGTTTACACACTTCAAAACAAACCACACGAGTTTGCAAAGAAAAGTAGCATTATTAGTTTTGATTAAATGAACACTCACAACTGACTATACTCCTGTTGAGTTGGACTCTAACATGACCATTTAGGATTTTTATTCAATCCATGAAGCTATTGGGTAACATGGATAATTTTCAGATATAAAGTGAAATATATACACATATATATGTTGTGGTTGTTAGCACTTTCAGCCACTCTGTGAATAGTGTTGAGAATTACTGTTAAATAAATTAAACACTCATACTTTGACGTTTCAACTAATTCTGTTTTATGACTGCAGGAATAAGAATATTCTGCAAAATTCTTAAGTTGCTGATGTCAGAGAATCATTCTCTACGTAAGCTACCTGAATGAAATTCTCAAGGAAACAAGTAATGAGAACTTCTTAGTAAGTTAAGTGTCAAGAATATGAATATGAATGTAGTTAGCTGGTTTATTGACATCCTAAAGAAATATAAACGGCTATTTGGAACATTTAGTTGTTTTAGTAATGAGTTCATTTGTAGACCTATCTCCAGTGAAGATTATGAACAAAAAGAATGAGCTGAACAAATGTTTTTCTGCAACTTACAGAAAACAAACGCTATTGACATTCGGTGGTTAACTCAATGATAGATGAGTGTTCTGCATACTTAAGTGACAATACTTATGATAATGAGTGTTTAGATGAAACCAACTATCTATTTACCTATAAACCGGGATCAATATGTAAATTTGGACCGCAGTCGGATTCGAACCAGCGACCAGCGGGTTTCCAACCAGACGCTCTACAACCTGTTTCTGGACCTCGCAGCTCAGCTGGTAGAACATCGGGTCGGAAAACCGGTGGCCAGTGGTTCGAATCCGGCCGCGGTCCAAATTTTAATTTCACCCTCAGTCATCACCTAGTATCAATACTAGAGTGCCAAACCATGGCTATCTCACACGGTCAAAATGATAGTCAATACGTAAAACAAATAATTTTTAATTATATTACCATATTTGGTGAATGACAAAGTATACCTTCAAGTAAGAGAGATTGTATGAAGACCAATATTCATCCAGCCAACGCCAGGTTTCCTCATAAACTGTTCTATATTTTAACTCCAGAGCTGTTTCATTTGAATTAGGTTTTAACCTTAAGGGTTGAATGTTTGACGAACATTGGAATTGTTGTGTGGTATTATAGGAATTCTTAGGTGTGTATCGGTAACGATCGGCAGTAGGGATTTTTTCAGTTTCGTTAGCAGGCAGTTTGGAACAATATTTGCGGAAAATAATAGGAACACATATATCACCGTTAGAACGTAGGTTTGAACTACAGAAATAAGCTAAATTGAACAATCGAACGCGACAGGGAAACATCTTTAACCAGTAAGTATTTTTCTTCACACCATTTCTAGGTTAGCCAGTAGCTAGCTTCTCGAGGAAATTGTTGCGACATTTATGAAACCTGACGATATTTAAAAACATGAATGAACATAGAAATTGCATTACAGTATCACTAAGAAACTACCTTATGACACCATAAACACCAAGTAAGCAAGCTATATCAGAAAGTCTAAACGGCAAGAAGGGTTATATGAAAACTATAACTATTCGAGTTTTTACTTCAAGCCAGCAACCGCAGACAAAATGAATTAACTGGAAACTTAAAGTGCGAAAAAATAGCCACGTAAATTACCTAATCCTCTGTCCCACGTTTCAGTGGGGTAATTCAATCAGTTTAAATGGGAACAGATGATATAAGAAAACTGAATGTGCCACGAAACGTTCCCCTGGTTCAAGTTGTTAAACTTCTCTAAAGTAAACAGAAAATTTCAACTACTGATGTAATCAAAGATAGTAATTCTGAAGGAAGAATTATCAACATAAAAACCTGATTATGTGTGTTTACAATAAAATGATATTGAAACGAAGTACAAATAAGTGGATACTGAATAACAAGATGTTCAAGGCTGTGAGAAATATAAATATCGACTGAATCAATATCACTGGAAACAGTTTTCAGTCGTATTATTTAGAATTTTTTAATCTAAGTTTGAAAATTATAAAGACCCTGACCAAAACAAGTCGTTCACCATACACTTCAGATTGGTGAAGCATGCTGTGAGGAAATGAAATGCATTACCATAGCAGTAAAACTGGAGTACTGTGGCAGAAGCTAATATCATATTAGTTGATTTATTAAATGTATCACACAGTGGGAACATATTACCGTTGTGGAAAGAAGCTCCCATTCATATGGCTATGACTTTAATTAATAATTATAGGTATGATGAAAACACGAAATATGCTTTGCATTTGAGTGCACATCAAAAACTATATTAATAAATGGACTAGTTTAAAAATTCTAAACCCCATGCGTAGAAGAAAAATTTAGTAGTTTATCTGGAAGCAGAAAGCAAATGATCACCTAACAGGTTATGGTTAAGCAATCAACCAAAATCATAACTGGAATTTTAAGCTTACATCGGTCAGTCCCAGAAGTAGATTTTAATTGATAAAAATTCCTTTTAGGCAGATACGCTGATAAAAAATGCAGTATTCTCTAATGCAAAACTATACTACGGTACTTTAAAATATTTATATCCTAAACACAACGTTGAAGTACAGAATTCGTTAAGCAGCTAATGAAAATGGACAGCGTACGTAGTCAGTAACGTATGACAAACAGTGATGATTGTAGCTGATAAAAAAATACTCTCCCGAAACTAACAAAACTGCTGATTCTAAGCAGTTACGATAAACCACTGTGCCATAACCAACTTTACGGCTAAGTACGGCTTAGTGTACTTCTGCTAATCCTCAGTACATGAAGCAGGTTTCCAGCAATTGGCACGTGTCAGTTGGACGCCAAACGTTTACTCTACAGCAATAAGCCTCAGCTTGGCACTGAAGCTAGCTGGTCTGTGGGCTAAACTAAACGTACTATGTATCATTCCAGTTAGAGAACCATGTCTTGAAACATTAACAAATAAGTTATAGTCAGATAGAAGAATGACTGATTCATTCAATAATTGAGGTGAAGTAAGCATGGCACTAGTGCGTATAAATATAAATTGCTAAACCTTAGAAAAACACCATAAAATACTGGAAGGTCAGATACATAGATCAACGTAGTATTTTATACTAATTGTATCTTGTATCAATTAAAGTCGCCACACTGAGATATCCCAAAGAAGGAAACAAAGACAAAAAGATATTAAAGTACAAAATATCAATAAAAGTTAATGAGGATGTGTAAATTCTCGAACATGATGTTATCGATTATGAGCCATCTCAACATGGCAAACGAAAATAGAGAGCATAAGAAAAGACAGAAAGCAATTAAACAGTTTTGGAATAGTGAACCCTTTGCAACATAAAAAATAAATGAGTCTGAATCCGTAGTACTGGATTTCTCAAGATTCACATCCCTAGTTAGACAACTAGTAAGTCAACATTCATCTGAATGATAAAATAAATGTTAGTTGTTCACACTAGGAAAAAGGTCATGTCTATTAACGAGTAATACCAGTTTCAAAATTTTAATCAGTGCACTTCTTCCCTCGTATCTCAACTGATTCTAATGCCTTCCCGAGAAATCTATGTCAAACCACAACAAAATCCACCTATGACCTCCAATGTAAACAAATGGTACTTAGAAGTTTGTACCTTTTGCATGTCCAGCACCACAAACAATCAGTAACCACAGACATGAATAACGACTCCAAGCGATATAGCTCAGAATCAAGCTCAGTGGCATAGATGCATTCACACATTTCATTTACATCGCAATTATTATACTGAACCCGGTCATTGTTTTATCCCTTCACTTTCGACTGCTTTCTTAATTATCTACTTATCCTTCATCTTGGTATCTTCTGTCTTTATGTGCTGATGTCAGATGTGGCAACTTTAACCACTAGACAGTAACAGCAGGTACCACGTCAGTGACTGGCTGCATGCTAAAGTAAGAGATAAAATCGACATTCACAAAATATGCTTCAGACACTTTGAATGAGACTTACAACGTCATCAACTAAAATTTCCCCTTTACAAAATGTTCTTCTCTAAACCTCTGCACTTTTTATATGGTGGTCTTGCCATAAGTCACAAGGCTACAAAAGCAAGTAGTGAACTACATTTAGCGTGAGAAAATGCTCTACCTTTGGTATGTTTTATAGGCGGATGAACCTGTTAAGTCACATAGTTGACAACTCAGCAGTAACATTTAAACAACAGGTTCTACGTATCAAGGTCACTTGCTGGTACTTCAGCTTTTGCCTGTGAACAAGTACGTCTTGAGATCTAAGCTAAAATGCATCGGTCTAGGAGATGTACTTTTAACAATCAGGTTGAGGATTAAAAACCTCCTTATCTACTAAGGTTTGGCGTTTCAAAGCCTAGCAAATAAACCCGTACCTAATAGCTCGCTTATATCCTTTTATCAATATGTACTTGAATTAGTATTCCCCAGAAAACTCCCTAAAAAGCCAATGTCTACAGAGTTGAATCAACAGGACTGTTTGCAGAAGACAACTTCAGCCATAACCAAACATTGTCAAAATACATGCCTGCAAAATCTTCAAACTTTGTGGTCGAGTCTCAAATATTACTGACTTCCTTAGAGTGAACAATCAGTTAGCCAAAGAAGTGTGGCAGTTTAAAATTAATTACATACACCTCTAAAGAATCACGAAAGCAATAATTGTAAATTTGCATTTCAAAAGCTTCGTACACAATGGGTTCAGACCACTTTTTTATACCGAAAAGTTAAATACATACATAACTGCTACTATAACGGTGGATTTTACATACGAACCTAGTTTGCCATAGGCTATCCAAGATGGTTAATAACTACTTACCAACAACTTCTTGCCCGTTTTATTGCACTTCTGTGTGGGGTAATCAACTTAGTGAAGGGTCAATAGTCGTTTCCCGTACAATATTATTCTAACCTTTCGTGATAACCCCAAAATAACCACGTTTAGTGTTAACTGCCAGATTTAAACATCTGTAGTCAGTAACTGCATTAATGTGTAGCAATATCAAAATAGAAAAAACTACCTTATTTCCAACTTTTCAGCTATTACATGATCTGAAAATGATAGAGAAAGTCGACTTCAATCATCAAAATATAAACACTGTGAAGCTAGCAAAATATTCTAAAACTTATCATGAGACGACCGTCAAGAAAACAGTAAGCTAACAACTTTGAGGTAAAGTTTGGATGGACTGAAGAAGCTGATAAATAAACAAGTCAATAAGGAATCTTGGGCAAGAGCACATCGGTTTAAGTTAACATACCACACAGCAGTATGAGAAGTGAAGCAAAAACAAATGATATTGAAGTACTCAAAAGTGTATGAGGGAACCAATAAATGAAAGATAGTAGAAATGTTCAAAGTTTAGAAGCAAACGAAGCATGTTATGCGTGGCTAGATACTGTCTTCTTAAATTGACCCAATCAGGAATATCATGGAAAGATTGCTACGATAGTTGCACAAAGGTAATGAACCAATCTATGAGATACAAACCATCGAACAATACGAAAATGCAGATCCACTGTTCGATGTACACCAGACAGTAAAAATCGTCATTTCATGTCATTATCTGATGACAATGTGGTGTGAAGTTTTAGACAGATTACTCACGCTAATGTTTACAACTCTGTTAAGCGCTTTTTCTGCTTGATTGATGTATTTCTTACCACCACTAGATTCTTCTTGCTATGTAGAAAACTTTTACATGAAATGATGAAATATTACTCCAGATTCCCATGTTTACAAGTCTTTTTCCTTGTTTGTTTGTGGGATTCTCAGTAGTCTTTCAAGAAATGAAGACTTCGGTAAAGCAACGTATTGCAACCAGAAATTTTTCATGGTAGTTAAGATGGTGAAAAGTCTGTCATTTCACACTAGTCATAGAGCACTGAAGTAGCTATTACTCCTTTAACTAAAATGAAACAGAGTCAACATAGAACCTAGCACGCAAGAACATCGGTTCAAGTTGCCAAACTTCACAGTAGTACACAAGGAGGTGGATAAAAAAGTAATATCAAAGCAGAAACACTAGTATGAGTGAATAAACAATCTGGAAATAAAGGTTAACCCGAATATTCAAGCTTTAGACATCAACCAATCAACACATCCGTGACCGGTTTTCAGCAATGTCACTTCTCGGGGACCCAAACCAGGGAGTCTACATTATCCCATAAGACTTAGATCAATAGGAAGAAGTTTCATCGACCGGTGCCACGTCTTGGTCTGACCATCCTGAACCCTGTTCCAACTTCTCCTAGCATGGCATGTAGAGGTAGGCGATGGTCCGCATGTGCAAAACATGTACAAGTTATCTCAGTTGAGTAGGTTTTCTAACCTTGTCAATCGACTTGCCTATCTTGCCTAGTACCCTTTGTCTTACTTCAACATTGCTCACACGGTGATTCCAACAAACGCGAGAAATGCAATAAAGGCGCCTATGATCAAGACCTTGTAATCACTTCATATCTACTTGTAATGGCCATGTCTCACGGCCATATACTAAGGCGGATCTGTCTGCAGCGCAATATACTCATCCTCTGATAGCAAGCCGGATATTTTGCCGTCGCCACGGATGAAACAAGTTGGGGAATGCCAAACTGTATCCGAGCTGAGATTTCGTCAGTGACCAGCTCGTTCGGGACTATGCAACTTTGCAAGTGAAATGGTCAACGCATTCAATCACTTAACTCCTAACACTTAAATTATGAGTAGGTAAATATCAATTCTGAAGCATCAGCTTACATGACAGGCGCGAGACGCGTTCAGTGAACATCCCTGACTGACGGGCACCACTAGTTGTTGTCGATTCTGATGGCAACTATCCATTAGCCCTTACACGGCTACACGAGTTCGAGTACAGAAATTCTTTTAGCGTTACAAACTTGCTCGGTACTCTTTTCAGTGTCAGACACTGTCACAACACCTCACAGTCCACACAGTCAAATATCACCTTCAGTTCAAGAAATATGTCAAGTGTCGGCCACTGTCCGGTAAGCATGCTTGCATCCTATGACCTGTCGAACGATGAGAACCTGATCGATGCACCCTCGTCCATGTCTGAAAACCACCTGATTCTCTCGAGTTCGCTTTTCTCAAGGTCCAGGTAGGCGTCGGATAATTATGAACCGAAAGATCTTGTGCCCAATATTGGTTAAGTTGGTTCCCCCGCGGTTGTCAAAAGACTTTTTTTCCTTTCTCAGAAATTAGAATCACTAGTGAAGCAGACCAGTCTGACTAGACTACCTCTATTATACATTATCTAGTATCTCCATTACTCACATTAGCAACTGCCTACCTCCATCCTTAAAACTTCGTGGCAAACCGTAGGGTCCAGCTGCTTTGCGTTTAGGTTGGAATCAGCTTTCTCAACTTCAAAGATAGTTGGAGGACCAACATCTATATCTCATACAGGTTCAAGTTTAACGCTATGCAACTGAAGTATTATTGTGGGCCAGCTGAAGTGTGCTCCCAAGTCTTCTCCCTAACGTTCTAGCCGCATATAGTGAGAGGTTATCAGGGTCACATCCTTTCCGGTGATGGTTTCAATCACCATCAATTCTTAGCCAATGTCCTTAATAAGCCTAAATATTTGGCAAGTATTACCTACTTCTAGTGCACTCTGCTTCACTCTCGCTTTCGCCACCCACTACTGCTCGCGATCGACACGAAAACTCTTGGTCATCTTACGTTTCAGCTTCTCTCGCTCCTCACTGTCACCATAGCCAGCTAAAACGAGTCTTCTCGTATCAATCAGTTCAGATGTCATGGAAATTTAATAGCGTTCGCTAACTTTCATATGTAGGTTACCAATGTTTCTACAGCAGATGTAATATCACGCCAGGATTACTCAGGATGAGGATTGTTGTCAAGTCCAAACAGATGATTACCTATCTCCTTCCTCAATAAGCACATGATGTTTTTATCTTTCAAAAGAGCACACATAGGCTTTACTGCTTCCTTTGACCAGTAAAGCACGTGAGCCCGTACAAGCGCGTGATATGAGTTCAAACAGGTACTCCAGAAAGAGCAGTAATCCCCCACCGATCCTCTTCAACCATGGCTTTTAACATGATATATTTGTGTAAGTTCCCGGAGAATGCCGCGTGAGTATGGCTCTCCTTGTGTGTGAAGTTACTTTTGGTCACACACAAGTGGTCGTCAAAACAAAGCTGCAACGGACGATCGATTTCCGTTCGCTGGCATGAAATTCTATAGATATCTCAAAACGTCTCCCTGATCGGCTCATCTTCCTCACATGAGTATTAAAGTCGCCTACCATTGCGACATTATCTGAAAGCTTGGCTTGATTTAGCAAGATTAATAGCTACTGATGGAATTTCCTCTATGTACCATCAAAACTGCGATCGGTGGGTGCGTAGGTGGAGATTGTGAATAGGCATCGGTTAGTCTAACGATCCTTCTTAGTTCGTACAGACCCATTCCCGAACAGCTGTTGACTAGTATTTGGTTGAGGAGTCGGCTTTCCGCCTTATAACTTGATGCTACGCCGACATCAGTAAGTACACGAAGACGATACAAAAGGGTAGTGAGGTTTCTGACAAAGTAATGCTCACCTTGAGGCTTATTACACACTAGACTCTAGTACAAAAGATTTTAAAGTTCTTCATAGAAGTTCCTGGAGAGATTTACTCATGCAGTTGTAAATACGAGGACAATTCCATTAGGCTAATTCAGTAAAAAGAGATGTTTCAGTTGAATTAGATCACAAGACTATTAGCAGCCTGGCACACTAAAATAACAGCTTATATAACTGAAACATGAAGATACAGAATATTACATCAGCATTCATTGTTCACAAAAAAACAAACGATAAACCAGAACTCATGTTTTCAGAACAAATTTCATTAAAACAATCTACAGGTTACATAAGTAGTTTAGTCGTTCAAAATGAATCCTGATATTGTACATAAACAATTTAACAACAACTAAAAAGGTTAGTTTATAGCGCTGACTTTTCCTGTTCATTTGAACTCTGAAAGCATGCATAAAGAAAACGGAAGACGCTTACCACAATGAGGTGGGACACCAAGGGTAAAGGTTGCTTGAATTCATTATTACAGTTAGAAATTCCCATCCCAAGTCCAAAGGCAAATCCGAAAATGAGCGGCCATGGACGTCCTAAAAACGTGATTATCTTATGATACAACTCACTTTTGGCTTGAAGTATGGAGTAAATTATGCCCCCCAAAAGACCCCCACCTTAAAGCCACTTAAGAAAAATATTCACCTCAAACCTGTTTTAATCAAAGTATCAGCGATACATCTATCTAGTCTTAGACCAAGGATATCCTCCGAGTTCGGATCAGTACTCATTATCATGAAACGCAAACAATGAAAAGTGCGCTCAAACTTCCTATTGTAGAATGGTCTCAGTTATCCTCCTGGTTTTAGAAAACTGAAAGAACTGAGATAATTGGCTAATTAATCTGGTTTGAAAGTAGTTGTACTCCTCGTCCATAGTGGACGGAAGGCCTCTCAAGTACGCCCATCGCTACCACAAGACTCTAAATGTGCATCTAACCTATTTTCGTAAGTATCAAGGGATGGGGCCATAACAGCTTCTGAAGGAAGGAAGTTTCACAAATTACAAACCGTTACGGCAAACGAGTTAGTCTTTTCTCGTGCTCTCTCATGCGGTACACCTAACGAGTGACCCTAGGATGGAATTTCTGATTACAGCGTAACAGTGGTCTGTTAGGATGAATAGGATTTTGAACAATGTGATATATCAAGGTCACATCCCACCTAATTCTTCGATTTTGTACTGGATGCGGCTCAAGAGCCACAGAGCGATCCAGGTAGGATTTGCATCGTTAGCCAATCGCTTTCTTCGTGGGCCCTCTCTGAACCCGTGCTGGCGTGGCTGTCTCTCTTCAAGTATGGTGACATCATGAGCGAGATGTCATCACGATGAGGATGAATACATGGTCCATTCAGTGTAATGTGAACAGCCGGAGTTAAACGCCCCAAAGCTCGTGTTAGGAATCCCGAGACTCCAAACGCCTTGCAGGCTCCAAGGCAACAGCTGGCCAAGGTTCCCAGTGTGACACACAAAGTGACTCCCGTGTCTTGTTTCACCCTTGAGTGATAGATATTTATTTCACCTAGAGACCAGGATCTGGAACTGTTTTTATATTTGCTGACCGTCATTATCCTACGCTTCTTCCAGTTGGGGGGGGGCAGGTTTTCTGCACTCCAATTTAAGATTTTCATAGGGTCCTCCAGCATTTCTTTCCAGATCTTCAGACCACCGGCATATAAAAGTGAATGAGAAGTGAGGGGTCCTCATAGGTCACTGACAAAAGAAAAAAATGGTGGATTCAGAATAGAACCTTCAGGCAAACCACTCAGCATAGAGATCCAGTTACAAAAAGGGGAGCCGAATCTAACTAATCGTAACCTAATGCAGAAATTATCTGTAACAGAAATAAGTAAGCTTCCGTGTACATCCGTGAGCTGAAGTTCTCTGCAGAGGATATCATGGTTTACCCTGTTGAAAGCCTTACAAGAGTTAGGTAGACAAGGTTAAACAGGCCTTTTCAGCCCGACTGAGAGTGTCTGGCTATTCTAAACTGACTACTCGTTGGCGTTTTGTGACACTTTGGGTGACAATCATCTGAAATTGAATTCTCAGGCAACTAATCACCAGTTGAGTCACTTACTACTCTTTGCATGACCTTCGCAACTGAAGAGATCAGAGAGATTGGTCTATAGCTAGAGGCAATTAGTTTGTTTCCACCTTTATATACCATGACGATAGTCTCCTGTTTCCATTCAGAGGGCTGTCGTTGAAAAGCGAACAAGTGAGAGGCTGGGAACATCAATGATCCTTTACAACTTGTCTGTATAGGTGTCTAAATATGTTGAAGGTAGGAGCAGATAGTAAAAGGAAACGCTTTCGCCTATGAAAAGCACAAGGAGGGGCAAACACATTTAGTGACAGTGTCTAATGGTGGGTAGAGAAGACGCAAAATGATTAGGAAATATTGAAAATGGCGATTTCAAGTCAGGGGGCCAGCGGTGAGTTAAGGGGGCCAAAGGCCTCAGTCTTTCGGTGGTTAACAGTCCACAATAACAAATCTCAAGCAGAACTTTGGATAACTTCATCGTTGCAGTTGTTCGTATACCCCATTATAAGGCACTGCATAGAGCACATACTGATAGTATGAAGAATATGGATATATATCCGAGTCTGAGGTGTTTGGTGTATTGATTACTATGGATTTCGATGCACCTGGATTTACTCGACGGGTGACACTGAACTTTCAGGGTGAATTACCCGATGAACAACCTCATATACTTTTATCAGGCCTCTTAGTTCCAATGGATGTTCAGAACAAATGGATCAATCCATCGAAGATGCTCGGGACACTTCTTACCCCATAGCCCGGAGACAAATGTTTTCTCACTTGTCCGCGAGTATATCATAAGGTATCGACAATAATAAAGCATCGAGGAATCTAGTGTTACAAGAACCTCAAGCTATCACATAATACATTGTTGAAAATAGTCGGAAAGGCCACAGAAGTGACAGCCGCATGTCATCTCCAGTGGATGAGCGTAACACAGTTTTCGGCCGCTATCAGTTCTTTTTCAGTCCAAACCTCCTGTAGTTAGACTGGGAAACTGACGCTGGAGCTCTTAATTTATTTTTCAATAATATTACAGCTGCGGTAACAACACTAAGTGGCTCCGAGACAAGTGACAGGAGACCCTAAGTTAAGAGACTGGCTGGCAGCATCTTAAGTAGCTTTGAGGATTCACCGTTAGCTTTCCACGTATTCAGAAATGAAGTGGATTAAAGAATATTGGCAGATAACCGACATTTACGGGGGATAAAGTTGTCAGACGATTCTCATGAGGTCCACCTTGGAGCCAAGAGGGTGATAGTGCTGCGTAAGTCTGGGAATCGAGATTAAGAAGACAACAAATGGGATTGTCATGACTATTTACTCCCAAAGAAAATCGTAAGTTCTACCCGCATAGCAACCCGCAAGGCTTCATGGATGTCTAAAATGGACTATGACCAAAGAAAAATCAGCTGACAAAACAAGTCTTGAAGGTATTCCGAAGAGCCCAGCTAACTTTGCCTGAGAACCTAGGCGTGAGACAATCGAAGAAAAATCACTGACGCTTTGCCTTTGTCTCCTGAAATACTGAAGACTAAGGGGACGTTTGACGACCACGTAACACCTATTCCACCCTGGCTGTATTTCCTTCCAAGCGGGCACAGAGAAGCTGGCTGTCGCCTAACACGCGAATGCATCATACGTCCTGGAATACTATCTCCACAAAGGTGGTTCAGGTCACTTCTTTTGAATCCTTCGTAGGCTGACTTGGCGCAAACATGATATGGGGGTAAGGTGAATCACAACTGACTTGCCTTTCCAATTTAAGCGCCACATTTCTCCCTTTATTTGTTTCGTACATAGGCTAGCAACCATAAGGGATTTTGGTTCTTTGCTTGTGGAAGGTAGTCAACCAAGAGCTCCCTTGGTGTTCATACGTTATCACCTGAATCAGGTGTGGACAATCTTTGTTAAATTGTGAGTTCGAGGGCAAACTACTTAATGCTCTTCCGGATTAAACATCATGTCGTTGCCTTGCAGTTTAATATCCCAGTCGTAAAAGTTTACTCTGCATTTGTCTGAGTCGTCGCTGTCATCTGATAAGTGGTGTATTTTGACATCACATATGGACAGGAAGATGTGGCTGGGAGCCCTGATTGTCAGAAGATATACAAAAAGAAGGAAAAGAGCCGGTCCAAACATTTCCTACAGAAACAATCAAAATAATAGGCAATAAATTAATAGGTATTTTGTTCTCACATTGGTAAGTTAGCATGAGAGAAGCCAGCTCACAGGAATCATCGCATTGATATAAACCGAAAAATCTACAAGATTTTGCAGGTCCTGAATAGTATGGAACGGTGGTCATCAAACACTATCGCAAACACCAGAAGGTAGTGCTAGTTACTAGGCAAGCAAAAAAATACCACATTTCAGTGTATTTAGAGTGTAAAGGTGAAAATAATGATAATTCTTATTTTCACATAATGGAGCTGACATGAGAGATACCAGTTTACAAGCATCGTCAAATTGATGATCCTTGAAAGCTTACAAGATAGTATTTAGTAGTAATTAATTCATATAACAGGTTATCGGTGTGGAAAATCTTATTAAGGCTTGCCACAGTTCATGAGACGGGCATGGATCTTCATCTCCCGTCACTCAGAGAGGTTCCACTACCAATAACAAAAGCCCGTATTGTTCGAAGTTTGCGTTAGAGGTGGGGACCCTAGGATAAGACGGGGTTCCGGCAAACTTTATGCAGAATCTTCTACTCACCAAACGAGATAGGAAGCGACAGATTTGCAGCTCACTTGTTCCCCCTTCTGGAAGTTTTCTAGAGGTCTATCCCGAGAAGCAACGCTACGCAATTACAAATAATGAAGATGAAGAGAAGAAGGAGGAATTCTGCAGACAACTGCAATCAGCACTGGACAAGACCCTAGTTAGTGACATCAAAATTCTAATGGGCGACGTGACTGACGAACTGAGAGTGGACAACACAGGGAGAGAACTAACCATGGGCAGAGAAGAACTCGGTAAAATAAGTGAGAATGGAGAATTGTTTGCGGAATTCTGTGCATTCAACGATTTGGTGATCGGCGTCAGGCAGTGTGTTCAAGCACAAGGATATCCATAGAGCGAGCGACATGGATTTGAATTCACCAGACACCAGGACACACTAAAAATCAGATCGACTTCATCCCAATCTCAAGGAGGGAAGACGCAGCCTACTTGACACAAGGTCAAGAAGAGGAGCAGATGTAGGTTCACACCACTCA